GCAAAGCCTAGAAATACTTTGTGGGTGGTTACTAACCTATGGGCAATAGACAGTCCTAGTGATGAACAATTGTCCCCAGCACTTGTCTAAAAAAAAAAAAAAATTTCTGTGATGATGAGAAAGTTCTTTTTTTTTTTTTTTTTTAATTTATTTATTATTATACTTAAGTTGGTAGGCGTACATGTGCATAACGTGCATGGTTTGTTACATTGTGTATAACTTGTGCCATGGTTGGCTGTTGCTGACCCCATCAGCACTCGTCATTTACTCAGGTATTAACTCAATTTGCAGTCCCCCCCCTTCCCCCTCCCCATGTATAGGCCCCGGTGAGTGTTGATGTCCCTCTTCCTGAGCTCGAGTGATCTCCATTGTTCAGTTCCCACCTATGAAAGTTGAGGAACATCTTGCGTTGTTTTGGTTTCTTGTTCTCTTGGATAGTTGCTAGGAATGGATGGTTTCCAGCTGCATCCAATGTCCCCTAACAAAGGACACAATCATCTTATTTTATGACCTGGCATAGATATTCCATTGGTGTATATGTGCACATTTTCCTTAATCCAATCTGGCCATGATGGACATTTGGGGGTTGATTCTCCTTTTGCTATGTGAATAAGTGGCTGCAATAATACATAGTGTGCATGTGTCCTTTATAGCAGCATAATTTATAATCCTTTTGGGTATTGCCCAAGTAATGGGATGGAGCTGGTTCATAAATCTGTCATTCTTACTTCTAATCTTCTTGAGGATCTGCCATACTGTTTTATAATGGTTGAACTAGTTTACAATCCACCAACAGTGGGTAAACTTTTGACAAAATTCAACAGCCCTTCATGCTAAAAACTCTCAATAAATTCGGTATTGATGGGATGATGAGAATGTTCTATGTGCTGCCCTCTAGCCACATGTAGCTAATGAGCATGTAAATTGTGACTGGTGTAAATCATGAACTCAATTTTTAATTTTCTTAATTAAAATAACTAAATGTGGTTAAATTTAAATGACCACATGTGGCTACTAGCTTTCATACTGAAGAATACATCTAACCAGTCTAGCATATAACAAAAATGGACTGTTTAAACGTTTTTAGAAGGAAGTTCCTCCATTGCCCCAGTAACCTAATCTAATATCTAATAAAATAAACGTCTGAGTATTTCTTTCTTCTGACTGTTTAAAAACCTTCTGGCCCTGTCTTGCTCGAATCATGGATCCAATCTTAACATGATTCAGATACCTTCCCCAGGTTCTAGAGCAACAATTTTCAATTTCTTTGATTACGAGAACCCATGTTTAGTGTCAAAATGAATTGTTAGCCATTTATAAAAGTAGTATAAATGGTAGTTGTATAAAGTAGCTTTAATTTCTGTTGATTAAGAAAATACATTATAATAAAAAAGCTCCCCTTAATTCAGTAACATTTCATATTCATATACATTTCCTTATAGCAGGAGCAATAGAGTTTTAAAATAGTCATATATATATATACACACACACACACACACATACACACACACACACATACATATATATATAAAAAAGACTATTTATTTAATACATGAGACATCCTTGGAATTAATTGCCACATACTCCAGGACTTCTACAATACTCAACAGCCTCCTGGGCTCTGTCACCCACACAGTTGAGAAGCCTTTTCAAGACTGGTTCCTAACTGTCTGGCTACCTTGCAAATATGTGAGTTTTTATTCCCAAGAGGGATTTTGGATTAATGTTGGATAAATGTGAAAAAGCAACTTTCCTAGTAGTTGAAAGTCATATTTTTTCTATATATATCTGCTAGTGCAGATACATGATACAGATGATTTATGCTGCAGTTAAGTCCAATTATCATTCAAAGATGATCAAGGTTTAACAATTTGGATTTCCTAAAAGTGTATTTTCACAACTCAACATTTACATTACACTTATCAGCTCTTTTGCAGTCATCATTCTATCAAAAATTATCCTCGCTCTCTGTCTTTGATTAACCTATGTTTCTCTGTGTCATCTTTGAAGCCAATTTTTGAAGAAATAATCTGAGAAAAAAGAGCAAACATTTATTTAACTATTATACAGTCAATTCACTGCAATTAATCACATACAGCAGGTTTTTGAACTCTAATTTTGAAGCGAATTCTCAACAATCTCTCTGGTCTCTATAAGTTCACTCTGGTAGTACACTCTTATAGGGTTTATGTCCAAATGTCGAAAGTACACGAGTGGTTCAATTTATCTTAAATGGGCCAAACATTACAACTCCGCTTCAACTCCTCTATTTTCAATTTGGAAATCAATGTATGTTTGTTCTCCACACTAGATTTCCAGTGATCTAATATGGACCATAATCTTCGCTTTTTGCTATCTAGAGGTGGGTGTTTTATAAGTAACATGTGAGCAACTGCTTGGTGAGCTCGGTCAGAGGAGAACCAAGCCATTCCCAGGGCAGAGATGGCCGGGAGCTAGCTGGATAGGTAATTAAAAGCTGGAGGTGAATGGTCACTCTTGTGAGGTTGCAGAAGAATGAGGAAAGACACCATCAGCATCACAAATTTGTTATTATAATGAAATCAGGACAAACTGTTTCTACAGACTAACTTCTCAGCCCAGAAATGATCTAAGAGCTGAAATCTTACAGTCTGAGAGCAAACTGGAGGATAACATGAAAGGATAATGGCACGAGGTCAGATTTGACCACTGTGACCTTAAAACACCCCCCAAATCTCTGAGGCAGTCCTGTGGCTTGGGGTGACAGCCCCATGGGACCCACCACTCATGCTTAGCGGTTTCCCAGTCTCCACAGGCATTCCCCTGAACGCATGGCTCTCATCAGAACCAAGTCCCCAACTACACCTTTCAGAACAGGAGAGCCAGTCTGTATTTCAGAATAAAGAGTATGACACAAAAACCAAAAAAAAAAAAGGCCAGGTACTGTGGCTCACGCCTGTAATCCCAGCACTTTGGGAGGCCAGGGTAGGCAAATCACTTGAGATCAGGAGTTTGAGATTAGCCTGGCCAACATGGCGAAATCCCATCTCTATTAGAAATACAAAAATTAGCTGGGCGTGGTGGCAGGCACCTATAGTCCCACCTACTCAGGAGGCTAAGGCAGGAGAATCCCTTGAACCCAAGAGGCAGAGGTTTCAGTGAGCCGAGATCACACCACTGCATTCCAGACTGGGTGACAAAGCGAGACTCTGCCTCAGAAAAGAAAAAAAAAGAAAGCCAAAGTGGCTCCTAGGCTAGTATGAGTTCACTCCATGAAATGTGGAAACCTCTTGCAGGCTCTGTATGGATTACAAAAAGATACCATATACCCAAGAATGCCCCCAACCTTATTACAGCTGACAAAGTATCAAGCAAATCACAATCCACACTCTGAAAAAGAAATCTCACACTACAAAATGAAAGATATCACATTTTTTACTGGCCACAGACCATTTTACACTTCCAAACTCTCTGGGTTTCCTAGAAAGATGTCACCCACTAAAAAAGACAGGAACACATTTCATCAAGAGGAGCTGAAATAAATTTATTGCAATAAAAAATGGATCTGCTGAGAAGCATTCACTTATTATACATCACATACATTGACTGCTGTAGACATCAACTATCGTCCCAAAATAGTCATTCTTTTAAAAGACTGGCAAACTTAAATATTGAATTTAGAAAGATGAATCTGAGGTTTTAATTCAATTCGCAATGGCACGTGTTAGTGGCATAAAAAAACTGCTTCTCAATTAAATCATCTGGGTTGTAATTTATTCAAGATAAAAATTTTTTTAAGTCACAAATTAAAAAGCACATACACCTACCTTTTTAAGGGAGATCACATTTCAGGATTCTGTATCAGAGAGAAATCTTCTTTTCCTGTGAAGAAAAAATAGAAGAAAAACTATCTACTAGTAACAATAAATAGCAAATGTGAATTTTTAAGACCAGCCTATAATCTTATCATGTTGTGTTTCATTTGTAATATTACACAAATGGAAATATTTAAATTAGACTTGAAATATTTCTTCATTTCTATCTACATAAAACATTTTACAGATTTTAATTCCAATGATTTGCTTTTTAAAGAACAAAATGGATAAAATAAAATCGAAAATGGACAAAAATAAATGAAAATTGCTCAAAACTAGAATTAAAGTATTTACTTCACATCTATCCCAATGACATATTTTCAAACATTCTGTTTAATTCTATAAAATAAATGTATAAACAAAGAAGGAAATACATAAAACTCCTCTCTTGTTTCTGCTCTTCCAGTGGGAAAATGAGGTCAGAAGGTTGTGGTGGGCTGTGCAGGTAACATGAGGTAACAGAACTATAAGCTGCTACCTCTTTCTATTGATTTTTTATTGTCCAAGCCAATAAACTATATTTATGAGCTCGATTTTTCTTAGCTAAGACTTTTAGATTACAAAAAACTATATAAAAATGCAAATAAAAACAGGATACCTGATTTTATTTTACATGTATTACTTTCAATAAACAATTGACACAGAAACCTACTAGTCACTAATAAATACTAAATATGACTTTTCAAAATCACTTATTAACATAAATTATTTTCGCTTTACATATTCAAGTCAAAATAAGAAAGTAAATGGTTTTGTTTAATATAAGTCAATCATCCACTACTATAAATCGTTTCCAGTCAAATCTATTAAAATGACCAATAGGATAAAGTTCACAAGAATGTAATTCTGACTCTGACCATGACGTACATTTGCTTCCATCTGTAATTTAACTTCCATTAAGGATAATGATATATAGATTCAGAAACAATGACCAGGATTCTGACCCAAAAGAGCTCCAAAGATTTGAAATTACTGCCAATGCATAAATTCAAGGAGACCACAGTCCAGAGGAGTCCCTCTCCCCAAATGAGAACTCCTCCATTAGCTTGTGTTTGCTTCACTTCAGAATAAAAGTCCTTTTTAAACTTTAAATAAGAAATTCTCACAACGTCCTATGGAAAGGATCGTGAACCGTGCAACCACCTCCATGTCTGCAAATAGCCAAGGTGAGTCCCATTCTTCGTGGCCAAGCTTAGCTAGCTGCAGAACCTCTTTCCTTCAAAGCAACGCCAATGCCCCAGGTGGACTCCCCAGTGTAAGCCAGCATCTGGGGCCTTTCCTCTCTTGCTCTTCACCACTTCATATGTCAGCCAGCATTACTTTGGTCCCCTTCACTGCCAATACAGTATAGTGATGGTAACAGCTACCTTTTCTATTTTCTGAAACTACAGTTGCAGATAAGCTCTGCTAACAAAAGAAAGCCAAGATAGCTAAGAAAGCCACGATGGATCAATGATCAATATGGACACATGGGTCACTGCACGTATGCTAAGCCAAATCATAATCTATGACCTAGTAACAACTGGGGTGGGGCCACTTACAGATCTTCAGTTCATAACTGACCAACCAGAAATAATATATCTATTTTTGCTTCAAATATGGATTTGTTTCAAAACAATCCAGTTGGGGTCACTGATGGGGAGGAATAATGGATGAAATGAAACTGGCTATGAGTTTGTTATAGTGTAATGATGGATATATGAAGGTTCACTTTGATATTCACTGTACTTTTATGTATATTCAAAGTGTTCTATAATAAAAAGTTTTTAAAATGTTCATTCGATGGAAATTATTTATGAAAATACAGAGAGAAATGCACAGATCATAAATATCACAATCTTTCTGTTTTTCAAATACTCTCTTACACACACACACACAAGAAATATTTTAGGCAAAAATTTTAAAAATCAAATATCACACTAGGAAAAATGAAAAGCTTACGGGTATGGTTTAAAAAAATCATAAAAATGGCTTTGAATATTTATTTCAATATTCCAAAGCCAAATAACACATATATATTTAGCTGCAATAAATCTTCTGTTTTTTTTTCTTTATTTTAGGTATCCTGCTTTGAATTAAGTAACATCAACATAGGAACACTGGTTATCTCATGCTTGTCAGAAATTGTAGGTAGTTAAATACACCTTTGATTAAGGTAATCGGAGAAATGAATAACATATCATTAGTATCAATGTGATGTTTCATCAACAAAAGTCTTCCTAATTCCAAGATCCAAGAGGGAACAATTTTTTTAAAAATCCTTTATTTGTGGCAAAGATTTGGGGCCACACATATAAGTTATCAGATTTGCTACCTGCTTATCCTAGCTGAGTGATCTGTCACTGCGAAAGAGCCAAAAGATGGGCACTTTATGGATTATACCACTCAATTTGACTAAAATTTGAAAGAGCCAAAAAGGGGCCATATGACGCTAAAGATGAGCTTTCACAACAAGCAGGGAAAGTCACACACAAGTAAAATCATCCTCACAGCCTAGGAATTTGACTTCCTGACCCCGCTAGACACCACTACCGGAAACCTGACCCTAGACATAAAATAAAAAGCAGGATTTATGTCATGGTTTGGGGGAAGACCATGTGTAAAGCTGTGCCAAGCCCACATCAAAGATAAACCAGGTGCAAGAAGAACCTCACATTCTCTCTGAACAGAAAACACACCGAGACCCAACACTGAATCCTAACGTGAGATGTGATGATTAAAAACAAGAAAATAAAAAACATAGTTCATGGTCTTCTATTTTCTTTTGCAAGCTTTCCTGGCCTAAAACAATCTGTTTCCTTTCCAATAAAGAAACAATGCCAAACTCTGAAAGGGAAATTTGTCTGACTTAATGGATAAGCATATAAAAGCTGGAAAAGGGAGTATTATGGGAAAACCAGAACAACTCAGCCTCAGGAGGCAGGCTTCCAAATTTATCGGTAAAAGGACTGAGGGTCAGAGGAGGGAGGGTAGGGGTAATAATTATGAACGAGTTACATGACGGAGGTCAGCTAAACAAAATTCAGTTGTTTTCAATTTGAAAATCACAGTTCTACCCATTTACTACATGAGCTAAGAGAAACATCCATTAGCTCACATCCATACTTAGATATTTTACATTCATGCAGCCACAATATGAGGACTAGTTTTATTAAATTTGCAATGGTATATCCTAAGGCCTTATGTATTTAATAAATACGTGTCAAATAAGTGAATGAATGAAGTAGCATCTAATACTTACCAAATCATAAAATCTAAAACTAAGCTAGTAGATGTGACAAAAACAAAATTCCCAGGTACGGTGGCTCTAGCTATTTGTTTAGCCAACATTTATAGTGTTAGGAGTCAATATACTACACTAAAATGATTTGCTTTCCCAGATACTAAGGCAGCTAGGGATAGACACATGACACAGTTTTGACCAATGAGATACAGGAGAGAGGGCTCTGAGAAAGTTCATTCTCACGATGTAAACAAGTCCCAATCCCTCATTCCTGAAAATAGCTCCTGGATGGTGCAGAGCCATCGCACACCTATGAAGACAAATGCTAAATGATAAGGAGTGGAGAGAAAGAAGGAACCTCATTTCCTGATGGCACTGCTGAGATGCCACATCTGCCCCAAATGCTTAGATTCCTAAGCCTGCATTTCTCTTAAACTTCTGTGAGTTTAGGCTGCTGTTTTCTATCACTCGCAGCCAAAAATATTCTAATATACACCAGCAATAACTTATTTTCCCCCTTCTGTATCCTCAGAAGCTGCTCCTATTTTAACTAACCACGATGCACCCTATAACTATTCAGTAACAGATACATCACCATTGCAGTGGAAACCTCATCAACAGTTTCCATTTGTCAACACTGAGGATGTCTCACCCAACAGGCTCACCAGCAGGCTTCAGGGAGAATCAAAAAAACATCAGAAACAACAAGGCACATCACTCTACCAAGCCACGCTGTGCTTTTCTAAGGACCATTACATTCTGATATTAACAATGCAAAAGAGAATGATAACAATGCAAAAGAGAATGGTGACAAAAAAGACAGCAATGCTATTCCAACGACCAAAGAAATGAAGAATCTTCTAAGTTAAGGCAGTCTTAACCTGTCTCACAAAGAAAAGTAAATATTTAGGGGCATGGCTAGATTAAACACCAGAAATGGAACATCACTAAAAAACAGAAAACAAGAACATGAACATACCTCTTGAGGGCTGAAGAGCTGACCTGATTCAAATGCTGCTACTCTGCTTTATAGGACCTCAGAAATGCACCTTCTGTGGAACTTAAAATTCTACAGTAACTTCTGTTATCTGTGGATCTCTCTTGATAAACATAAACTCCTAGACCTCAGGAAGCAAGCCTGTAACAAGTATTGACAAATGCTGAATGAATGAAGAAGCAAAACTATATAGAGATTACTTTTCCGAGAGACTTTATGAAAAGCATGCAGTCCTCAAAAAGAAAAAAAAAATCTAGAAATATAATAATGAGTCGAATTAATTGTGTATTTAATGGTCAAATGTCTGTAGAAAGAAAAGAACAGAACTACAACTAAGAGGTAGCTATTATTGTATAAACCAGGTGAGGTGTTAGGCACTTTGCATCTGGTATTTCATGCAGTCTTCACCGCTCCCCAGTTAGGCATGAGTCTCTCCTCTTTCACATGAGGACAAGTTCAGAGGGAGCTTTGGAGCTCACCTGAGGTCACATTTCTAGCAAAAGACAGACTGGATATTCAAACCTAGGAAGGTCAGAACCTAGGAAGGTCAGCTCTCACGTTTCTGCTATACAATGCTGCTTCTCACTTTTGTCCTTATGAAAATATTATTTATAAACTGCATACCTACATTAGCTGAGGGAACATTCAAAGGGACCTTCAGTCTGTGGCCAAAAACTAAGCAAGGTGAGGCTCCATCATAACCTCAAGCACAATTACTATGTGCCCATATCATAAACCAGATGTGGTTCTGCATGACCCAGATAGTGACTTTCTCTAGCTCATTTTACAGCTGTAAAGACTTACAAAGGCTCTACATACCTATGGCATGTGTTATTTTAAAAGCTACCGTGTACTTGCATGACCTAGAAATGATAAAAAGAAACCTATGAGTCAACAGCATTAGTTTCTCTCAGAAATCAGCCCTCTCCCATGTATGGTACAAACATCCCAGCTCTCCTGTCACAGTTACAGAACATGTGGCACCAAGATCCTGGGGACCCTGGTCTCTGGGGAGGCTTACAAATAAAACCCACTGTGTCTATGAATACAACATATCGAATTGATTGAAGCAGTTTAAAATAATGAATTCGTCTGAACCAAAAAGAGAAACAACTCTACCGTTGAAAGAAAAAAAAATCGAATGTATATTGCAATAGGCTCCTAACACTTTGCATTGAATAAATACTACCTCTTTGAAGTTGATGAAAACCTCTGTGAAAATATTTATCCAGTAAACATCTCAGTGAAATAAACTGTGATGACTCCAAAGAAGCCGAATATAACAACTTTATAAATTCTCATGGAGAAGAAATAGAATCACCACCCCCGAAACATTTGGTAATTATTTATACACAATATGCGCACAGTCTGTGATGAACGTGCAGAGATGCAAAAGTTACTGCAGTGTATTAGCTGAAACATGAGCTTCTTTACTCTGCCATTTCAGGTTAACTTTTCCAGTGATTTTTTAGTAACACAGAGTATTCTGCAAGTCCTCACTTCTACCACGGAAGCTATCTAATACCCATTTGAAGAAAAAAAAAAAACACTAAAAATGTGTTAGAAGCCAAACTTATTTTGGGATAGTTATCAGGTGACAAAGCATGCTTCCATTTTTTTTCTCCCCCTTTCTATTAGTTAATTATCTATTATTTTAAGATTTGCCATACACATATATTTGAAAAAAATATGATTTAGTAAAAGGATGTTGGGTCTTTTCCCAAATAATGGCTCGATTCTCTTTGGAAAGATAAACAAAGCCTCCTTCTTGTTTCAGTAATCTATCATTTCAATACTTTTCCATGACACAGACACAGGCGCGCACACACACACACACACAAATAGTATTCTCAATTAAATAACACTATAACACACAGTTTTTCTCCTATACAGCTATTTTTCAATGTGTTCAATGTTCACCAAAGGCCAATGATTTCAAAAAACAGGTTTCATAACAAAAGAAATGGGAAGAAGATACTTTCACAAAGACACTATCAGACCATAGTCCAAAAAGAACTCTGCATACAACTTCTTTGAAAATCTCTGCTCCAAAACTTCAAGCTTTCTAGTAAATTAGGGCTCCTTTATGAATGCTTACCTTGCTTAAAGTATACCTTGAAAAGGAGGAAAAAAGCATCTCCCTTGCATTTAACCCCACCATCATACTGACACTGCCCATTTACAAAATGAAATATTGAGGTCCACATTAACTGCTATAAGCAATTCCAGGGTTAGAACTAAAAACAGGATTAAGTGTGAAAATACTTCCTTATTCACCAGTTAACTTAATTTCTTTCTCCACATCTTAAAGTAATTCCTAACAACTGACAAAGGCTCCAAATATTATACAAATATCTAGTCTACAAATAAAGTTTTAGGAGTTATATTAAGCAGATGTCTGATGATATTGGACACAATCTTAGAACCACTTCTTACATACAAAGTCTAGCCATGAAAGGAAATATTGGTTTTAAACAGAAAATTAAATGAGCTAATTAAATATAGATCAAAGGAAGTTCTACCATGAAAAGACTAATTTTTGTCACTCATGGAAAAAAATGTATCAATAAACAAAAAGCAATCTGGTGTTTCTTGTTCTGGCCTATCTTGGTTACCACCTATTATAATTAGATTAAAGGTAGTTTTGCCTTCTTCCCTTCTTCTTTGTGCTTTTAAGTTATTTTCCAATATTTTTTAATTAATCTCATATTCCTTTTATAAGTAACAAAGTTATTTTTAAAAATCTTAGACACTACTGAGATATAATCTCCTTTTAATTAGGGTAAAGCACATGTTAATATGTTTTTAAATATATTGACAATTAGTCAAAATTAAATTTATAACTTTAAAATAACTTCTTATCATATTGTTACCTATAAATTCTGGTACAAAACCACATTAAATCTTTTAAGGTTATTTTGTACTTTGAAGTAAGCTAACTAATGAACTGATACATACATTTCATATTCATCTATTTCTGCTCCAAAAATTAGGGAAAATTACCTGTTTCTTGTTCCAAACCATTCTCCTTTATCTGTGCTATTTATTATTTGCCAACTCTTCAAGTATATTTTTATATTTTATATGTTATATGACATCATTATGTCATTTCTTTCTCTGACAGTTACATTAGTACTATAAAATACATATTTATATGTCTGTGTATATATGCAGAAGTATATCATACATTCCTCAATAAAAGTACACATATATTTACATATATATACACATTTATGAATATACCTATATGATCTGTACTGTTTAGAGATTTCCAGCAGAAGTGCCTGTCAATCCAGTTTCAGGTTATATATACCTAGGCCAACCTGACCAACTAGTTTGACAAAGTTAACAGCAGTTTTGAATTCTATTTTTTTCCACTTAAGTGACCCATTGTTTAACCAAATCAGTAAAGAATTTTGCAGATTAGTAACCTCATTCCTCTTTTATACTGGTCACCCTTACCTTCCCCAGAGACCAATATCCTGCAATCACCATGACTTGATTCATTAAGCATTTATTTGGTACTTAGTATTTCTCATTACATGAAGGGAGAAGCTTACAGAGTGTGGCGGTTCACGAATTATAAATGTAGCTGAAGGTTTAACACTTATCTGTGCATCTTGCTATTAAGCCAGTAATCTCCAAATTCTTCTAATGATGAGAATGGGAATTAATGTTTCAATTTTCTGCTAACGTTTCAGTGCCAAAGGTGATATGATGAGGTCCTTGTATATGTCCATAGGACTTGCTACACATGGCCAAGCCAGTCCAAAGGTCACCTCCAGAGTCTATGTATGAGAAAAATTGCACTGCAGCAATCTCTTCAAAGAAAATTCAACAGTTCCCTTTCCTTCTCTCTCTAACACCTCGTAAGAAAGGCAAAAAAAAAAAAAAAAAAAAAGAAAAGAAAAGAAAAGCCATAATAAATTGAGTCTATCTGCAATGACAGAGGCTGATATTCTATTCCCTGCCTGGATGCCTGCTTCAGTGCAAAAACTATAGCATATGTATCAGGTTGGCTGGCTGATGCCACCTGCAAGGCAACAGAGTCCCAGTAGAAGTAGAAGCAGGCTGTGCCCTCAGGGTCTGATGGTGTTAAGATGAGAGTTTTTCTGTGGACCATGTGAATACTATGGAAGGTTGTCAAGTTTGAATGATCCTGAAAAGCCTCCATCTGAGTGGATTGCCTGGACAAGGACACAGAGACACTCCAGTGATCTTCCACTGGAATATGAGGAGCTGATATTGCAGTGCTCAAAGCAAATTAATGGCATGATGCCAATGGACCTGCAAGGGCTCTCCAGAAAAATCCATCAGGGTGTGTATGAGAAAGAACTGTCCTTGAAAACAAACAGCACCTGCTAAGTGCAATAGCCTTGGCCCCTTTTATGTCCCCTGTGCCAACTCTGGAGGAGCCAGACATTGGTAGGAGATGAAGAGAGGAGAGTTAAACTAGGAATTCCTTTTCTTCCATACTGATAATCACTAAGCCTAGGCTCAAGCCTAAGAATGGAAAAAGGGGAGAAGCTATAAACTGGATGGAAAAATGGAAGTTTTGATTTACATTGTACTACATTTTTCTAATATTTGACAATTAGGTTGTTCCAATACAGTAAAATGACTGAAAAGCTATAGGATCTGCCAAAAAATATCATCCAAAGTACAGGAGAGGAGAGAATAAAGCTATTTTCTGTTTATGTCTTACTAAGTGTGGCCCATTCAACAAACCAATTATACTAAGTATACAACCTATGTATAGTGTAAAATAAGTCTTGTGACTTTTTTTCCATAAAGTTAAGTCTGAAAGAAAACTGAGAAGATATAGAAAAATCAAAGTGCAAATGTAATATGTTTCATAAAATGTTAACCACATAATATAATTATATCAACAACTTTAAATGTAAATGGACTAAACATTCCATCTATGTGGCAAAGATTATCAGAATGGATTTTTTTAAAAGCAAGAATCAACTATATGCTCTCTACAAAGAGACACATTTTAAATGGAAACACACGAATAGATTGGAAGGGTGAAAAAAAATTATATCACGCAAACAGTAAGCAAAATAAAGTTGAACTGGCTATATTAATAAGACAAAATAGACTTCAACACAGAGGATTACTAGAGACAAAGAGAAACACTTCATGATGATAAAAGGGTAAATATAAAAGAAAGAGTTCTACAAGCCTAAGCCCTTCATTTAAGAGAGCTAAGTATGCTGAAACCGGTGATGTGAAATGACTTGCTGAAGAACACATAATCAGCTAGGGCAATGGCCAGCTATAAGTCACTTCTCCCAATTCCCTTTTCAGAACCTTTTTCCTATGATCAGTGCTCCTAATCTGAGTTCATTCAACATGAAAGCAACCAACCTATCTGATCAAAACTATCAACTTGGTAACTAGGCAAAGACAGCCTTGGAAGGAGGGGAAGACCACATTGAAGGGGTAGAAGAGGGTAGAATCCTGAGCAGGGTCTGACTCCAGACTGAGGCGCTGCAACTTGCTAGTTATGTGGACCTGAACAAATTACTTAAATGGGCCTCAGTCTCTTTATCTGTAGAATGAGGATATTGCCACCTATCTCACAGGATAGATACAAAAAACGATGATGAGGAGGAGGAGGTCAATGACTTGACCAAGGTCACTCGGCTTCTCAGTAGCAAAGCCAGGACCCCACAATGCACATCATACACGTGCCCAACCATTTTGCTAAACTTCCTCCCAAAGGAGAGTCCCTAGTGGAGTTCCTGACCTTCACAAGACATTTCAAAAAATGTTCATTTCCTTCCCAATAAACCGATGCTGTACTTGCGAGTAACTTTATAAAGGTATTTCCACACGGGATCCTCACACAGAAACATATATCCTTTTTCATCTACATACACGAGTTTGAGATGATCACTTTTTCCCATCATGATGGCTTTGTCTCACTCTTCATAAGATCTTAAGGTCAAAGTGAGTGAGGTAGGCAGGGTAAAAATTCAGTGATAATTTAATTTATATCATCCCTTATAATCCAAATTGAGCCACATAATTAACACATTTGAAATCATCCCTCAAAAAAAGAATTTAAACATATCATTCTGCTCAAAGGAAGAAACAGCCATTCCACTGTTTTGTGGTTATAATAACTAAAGAGGCATCACATTCTCAGGACTGTAAACTCAACTTTCAGTTTGGTGAAGGATTCTTCAGGAAATGAACTAATACCCATGGGTAAGTCTGTGCTGCTAAGACCAATCCCCGTATAATATGTTCAAGTATCTTGGCAATTTTGTGGATTATTTTTATTATGTAATTGAGGATGTTATACAAATAGGCGTGATTTACAATCACGCTGGTCTTTCTCTTTTCAGAGTCTAGTCAACTATCTTAAATGTCAAGGTTACAGTCAAGGTCAATATATTTCACCCCAGGAAAGTAGGTGTCAGCAAGGCAGATAATGCCCACTTATGCTGCCTTATATAAGGCAAAATTTAAGAGTAAGACAAAACTTGATAATTAATGTTAAAAAATGCATTGCTTAGATACTAATTTTAGAAACAGCAGAATGCATACAAATCCAAAATAAGATATACAAAACCATGAAATAAGGAAGGAAAGTAAAATAACAGTTTGTGGCCCATGTCCTCGTCTTACATATTAGTTTTAGGACACATTTAAAAGCCTACTATGTGCTAGCTACTGTACAAATCTGATTTAAAATTTGAGAATGAATAATGCTGCTTGAAAGAGCTAAATAGCTCATAACTAATGTATTCAGATAAACTCAAATGACCAAACCAGCTCATGTGACTCACTGAAAGTTCACACACATACATAAAGAAGAACGTTTATTATGTGACCCCATTCTATGCTGTAGCTATGCTAGGTTCTGAATAATATTTTAAACCCAATATATCACACTTAGTCAGATGTATGCATTACTTAACTAATAAAATAGCACTATACTGTTTAAAAAGCTCACTCAAGTAATACTATTGTGAAGAAGAAAATTTAAAATATTTTTTTATGTAAAGCAAATCAATGTCATGCTTTGTAGTCAAGATGTCTTTATAGCCAATCTTTATATTAAAGAATGTACCGAATATAAATCATTCAGCAGTTATGTTCGCTGTTTCATAACTTCAATTCTACAAATATTTTATTTCTCCATTAGTGAAAAATTTAGATTGAAATTAATAAATAAATTAACTCATTCATAACACCTCCATTGTGCTGTTGGGTTTTTTCCTGACAGGCACCAAATTAAGCAAAACACTACAATGTACTTAATGAAAGTCTTATGATAATTTATCCTCCACACAAAAAAAAATTACAAAGAGAAAGCACCAACTAACTAAAGAGAAATTAAAATATTTCCTAGACTACTGTTAATATGTTAGGAAAACAAAGCCAAAACCACTTTTATTTTGTTTTAGAAAATTACCCCAGGACTTACATTGATAGCAGAAAAATTCAACAAATACACATTACTTATCAAATTATAAATTAGGCAATGATTCAAGTTCCTAATTATGGAAAAAGATTTGAGCTCATTTAACATGACATGTTTTAATTATAAGACTCTTTAAAGAAGTATGTGAAATTCACATAGAAAAAAAGAAATAAAGAAACAGGCTAAAGAAAGACATGATTTATCTCATCTCTGCCTGTAAACAAATTAACTCTTATGAAAGCTCAGTGAAAGCAAATATCCTATAAACTAAACCAACTCAAGACAAAAATCACCTTTTGAAATTAGGAACATGCGTTCAAATGCCAAAATTATTATTCTGATATATTGGTCCATAATACTTTGTTTTTATATCCCAAGGTCTGCTTTCATCTGCCTGTAAAAGAAACCCTCCACTGTATTAGGTTTCTAGGACTGCCATAACAAAATACCATAGACTGGCTAGCTTAAACAACAGAAATTTATTTTGTCACAGTTCTAGAAGTTCAAGATCAAGGTGCCAGTGCCAGCAAGCATGGTTTCTCCTGAGACCTCTCTCTTTGGCTTGACGACTGCTACCTTCTCCCGTGTCCCATGTCCTCATATGGCCTTTCCTCTGTGCCTGTACGGTCACAGATTCAGGTCAGGTCAACCTTATTTTGAAACCTGTCTATACATCTGATCAACCATGTGACCCTGAGTAAGTGCTGTAATCACTCAGTTTTCTTAGTATCGAATGGTGGTAATTATACCTAATCTGCAGAATTGCTGAGACAATGAAATGGGATTGCATTCTGAAGGCCCAGGGCACACTGTTTAAGCCTAATAAATGCTGGGTTAGGGGCCCGGTCTTAAAGAATCCTGGTAAGTTTCAACATTTTAAAATACTGCAAAGCCATCCAGTAAAGACTAAAAAATGTCAAAGAACTGGCTCAATTTCTTATGTATCCCATTCCACAGTGTGGCTCAAGCACCTGCAGTGCGTGTGTGTGTGTGTGTATGAGTGTGTGTGTGTGTGTGTTTGTAGAGAAAGAGACTTCCTCTCTGAGGGTCTCATACCCTGTATCTCATATCCTGTGTGAGGAAAAGAAGCAGTTACTGGTAAGCACTTATGTTCCCCACATCATAACCCTTCTGCAATAAGAAGGTTGCTGTCACCTCTAGAAGGAAATGGATAGGAATTGCTCTTGCGATATTCTAGACCAAAAACCCTGTTGACAAATGAGGCATACCTTCCATGTAATTATTGCCTTAATCTTTCCAACAAAGCTGGAAGCACTTTGGTTCAATATAATGTAGAACATTTCCAGAATGTTTTCAGAAGGCATCTGCTGCTCTTAATTAACGAGTGGATTCCTCCTGATCATCAATCTTTATGGAAAACCTGTGGGTCTGCCATAGTTATAATACTGTAGCTGAGAAAATAAAAATTGGCACACAACAAAATAGTTTGGGAGAGCCTGATTCTAGCAGAGTCACTGCCAGGACATGTATTAATACCCAAATCATCTGCACTTTTAAATTTCCTCATTTCCCTTTGGTAGCTGCACAAGAAATCCCTCTATGCTACTTATGACAGATGGGGAGAAACTTTAACCAGTTACTTTGAAACTCTTTCAAAGGGAATGAAAAATGGACAGAATGGGGCCAAGCTTAAGATTCTCAGAGGGCCTCACAGATCCAAAAAGTCTCTAAATAAAAGGAAATATTCTCTATCTGTATTTCCAAGCGCTATCATGAAGTGTTTTCTGAACAGCTGCAATAACTAAACTATAATCCTCCTAATGTTGTCTGCATTGAAATCTGAATAATGATATATCTAATAATTAACATACTTAGACAGCACTTTTCAACACAAAGCTAAAAGAAATCTGTGAAGTCAAAAAGAAGCCAATTGTGAAGAAGACATTTCTTAAGTCCTATTAATGCTTGGCGAAGGGGGCCTGGTGAAGACTGTCAGAGACACTTTTTTCACAAGATTCAAACCACTATGAATAAACTGCTCCCTTCTGGTTTTAGAACTATAAAAGATGTTCTCTAAAAAACAATATTCAGCAGAATATTTCCCTTCAATTAATTAATGACTTTCTTGCTTTCTCTGTTTGGCATTGATGTATTTGCAGGTCATTTTGAAAATAAAATGCTACAAGAAAATAAATACAAAGCATTTTAAATTACTAAGAGTCCCACTTGATAAAATAATCTGATTAAATAAATTATTTTCTTCCTAAATTTCCAACCATGTTTGAAATAAGAAATTTATTTTCTAATTCCTACACACTGTAGGAAAAATGAGAATAACGTGATTAAAATCAAACTCATAAAATAGGAAAAACAATATGAGTATGTGCCTATCAGGAAAAAAATGATAACCTATCTTCAGGGAAATGTCTCCTCTGGATCTAGTATACTAATTACAATATCAGGATTTCTGTTACCAGAAATAATGGATATAGAATTTTCAAATTATTTATCATATTTCCAAATTGATCATTCTGCTACTTTTCAATGACCAGTATAAATAATCATGAAATACTTTTTTCTTTAATAGGTCAGCAGATGTCTTCAGTTTACTAAACTTTGGCTTTTTTTTTTTTTTTTTTGCTTAATCATCAGATTGTTTTCCTGATTTACCCAATCTGCCGACTTTGCAGTAATGGCATTTAGTTATTTATTCATTTAAGAGACATCAACTTAGTCACTAATATGCACCAGATTGTTCCATTTCCTAAGAGAGTCATGCTGTGGCTAAAATTTGCAAACTATTCAACAGGAGGACTAAAGTAGGGCACCCAACCTGGACTGGAGTGGAAATCAAGGAAGGCTTTATAGGAAGATGGCAACTGCATGGAGTCTCTAAAGGCCTGTAGGAGTCAGCCAGTTGAAGAAGGGGATTGAGTGCAAAGTCATAGTGCAAAGCCACAGTGTCCACAGTGCAGCAGGCTTTATGTTCTTGGATTTCAACACAGCCTAGTATAGGTGATGCAAATAAAGGAGTTAAAACTTCATCACAGAGGTCAGGCCGTGGATGGCTTACATTTGGCAAATTAGGAAGACAAATTAATCCTGATAGCAACAGGGAGCTGTTGAAGTATCTTAGAGGTAATGCTATAATAAGACTTGTTGTGTGCAAATTACTTTAGCTGGTGTGGGGAATGGAGTCAATGGCCAAAGATGTAAACTTATAAAGTAGTGTCTATTTGTCCCCTCCAGTAAACTGTAAACTTCTGAGAGCAAGATCTCACTGATAAAGTACCTGATGTTCACTGAATAGCCAACAGAAGACACGAATGAAGGCACAGATGAGAAAGAGACAGTATAGAGAGACTGAATGAAAAAATTCTTGGAACAATCAAGACAGGAAATCACACGGACATAAATTCAGGCTAGCGGCAATAGGAATGGAGAAAAGTGAACAAAAATGAAGGATATTGATGGGGTAGACTCAACAGACGGATAGCTTGTTTCATGAAGATTTAGAAACCGGAAGGAGACACAAGTTTGGAGTGAAGTTGAGGACTCCTGTTTTGTACACTTTGATTTGAAAGTCCCCATAGACTTCAATGTCAAGATCTCCAGCAGACAACAGGATATATCTGGAGCTCCAACAAGAGGTCAGTGATAGAGGAGTCTTCAGTAAATTGGGGGTTAAAAAAATGGTAGAAGTGAATGAGTTATCTTATATAGAAAGAGTTTACAGAGTGAACACAGTCAAAAGCAATGTAGAGACCTCCAGAGAATACCATTTTAAGGGCTAGGTAATGAAAGAGGTACTCATGAAGCTCTGCCTCTAATCTATGAAAATAGTGTATAATGGACAACCAAACCCTTGAAATCAAGGACTTCAGGAATATATAAGGGTAAAAGCAAAAATGAATTAATCTAGTGCAATTCCTTCAAGATGGAGAGGTGATACGACTTTTCCAGAGTAACCAACTCTGAGAACTTGCAAAGTAGTAGTTGCTAATAACCAGTATCTCAGTTTCTTACTCCATGCAATTTGGAGGTAAGAAGAAATGAACTCTGATATTCCTTATAGCAGTATCATTTTATGATTCTAATTAAGTTCCGTTGCTTGTTCATTCAGGACAAGTACACAAACCAAAGAGCAGACTTCACCTTTTCAAACAACAGAGCCAAGAAAACGAGAGAATAAATGAGCCTGAAATTTCAGAATCTTACTGCCATGCTGAACAAATGGGGAAATACAGCTTGTTCATTTCTACTCAGTGATGCTAATGATTCCGTTAAATTGACTTCTTTGATGGAAAATTACTGTTAATAACCTTAATTTCCTCCTAGTCTCTTCTCCCAGGTACTGACATTTTAAATAAAATATTTTTTATAAAATATTAAAAGCAAAGGAATTATGTCTATCTTAGGAATCCAACTCCATGTCGAGAGACTATGAATCCCTTCTGTCTGTCCTATCTATAAGCCCACATTTTTGGTTAATCAGATAAACATATAACATTTCCCATTCTACGCATTTCTCAAGAAGCATAAAGCAAAATCCATTCCAAAGGGAACTAAAAAAAAAATATTTAATGTTACTCTAAGGCCCACCACAAATTATACTGATAGCAGCCATGTGGTATTGTAGAAGATTCCCAATTTCAATTTCAATTTAATCAATGTAGATGCAGTTTTATTTTCTTTGTCCACAAAACCAGACCATAAGCTTTCTACCCTGGACTGACTGCTTAACCTTGCAAACCTCTGTTCTGGAGGGCAAGTGGGTGGGGGTCTGAAACTGGCCTTCCCAGACCATTCACCTACTTTTTCCACCCTCATCCTCCTCTCTCCTGCCCTCTGGTTTCTGTCTGGGTTCGGCTAATGGAAGGCACCAGCCAACATTTAGGAGACAGGCAGAGAGTGAGGAAGGTATATATATTCCCCTCTGTCTCCCTGGAGAGATATTACAGGCTGACAGGGTCCCTCTAGAAAGGGATACAGCTCTTGTCAGCCTTTCTTGCCCCTTCCTTAGAGTAGGACTAACTCCCTGTCACTGCTGGGTCTTTCTTTAGCACCCACCCTGATTGTGTTCCCTACACCTGCCCACATCTTCCAAAGGGTCCCTTTAACAAGCCCTCCTCAAAGGACTTGGCATACACATGCCATCTGCTCCCTAGCAGGGCCCTGAATGATACAGGTTGAAAGAGTGACCAGGTGGTGCCCTCCACTGTGCTTTCACAGACATTATCAAAGGAAATTGTCTGTAAACTGTGAAACACTATAACATTTCCATGAGCAAAACCTAGCACAGACTTTCTTGAATATGTAAGGTTTCAATGCCAAGGAAATATGACTGTCCCACCATATTTCTACAATTCACAGTGTGTTGTAAAAATAAACATGCAGAAGGCATACAATCAGAATCTGAATGTCACTGCCAACCGAACCAGAATTTTTCTTAAAAAATGAATATCTGGAGAAACAGATGAAAGAACTAAATCCATCTTTGGGAAACAGAAACAGTATTTAACTTTCCTGTCATTTATCTAATCAAGACTCACTAACCCTGACTGAGTCTCAGTCTTTCAAGGAATGTTGTAAAATTCCAAATAATTCACTTCATATTATTGATAACAATTACAGTTATCAAAGTAGTCCCTTCTGAAAATAGGAATCAATCAATGACCTAGATTTCCTGTAATATTTCTCCCAATATCTCTTTAAAAGAGAACATGATGTAGCGGTCAGGCATGGTGGCTCACACCTATAATCCCGGCAATTCAGGAGGCTGAGGTGGGCGGATCAGTTGAGCTCAGGAGTTCGAGACCAGCGTGGCCAATCAACATGATGAAACCCCATCTCTACTAAAAATGCAAAAATTAGCCGGGCTTGGTGGTGCACACCTGTAATCCCAGCTACTCGGGAGGCTGAGGCAGAAGAATCACTTGAACCAGGGAAGCAGAGGTTGCAGTGAGCTGAGATCGTACCACTGCACGCCAGCCTGGGCAACAGAGTAAGACTCTACCTCAAAAAAAAAAAAAAAAAGAAAGGGAAGGGAAAGGGAAAGGAAAAGAAAAGAAAAGGTGTAGTTTCTAATTTATATAGTCCATTATCTACATATCATTTCTAAAAAACATGGCCTGGCCAGGCACAGTGGCTCACACCTGTAATCCCAACACTTTGAAAGGCTGAGGTGGAAGGACTGCTTGAGCTTAGGAGTTCAACACCAGCCTGGACAACATAGCGAGACCCTGTCTCTACAAAAACAGAAAAAACTAGCCAGGTGTGGTAGTGTGCACTTGTGGTCCCAGCTACTTGAGAGGCTGAGGCAGGAAAATCACTTGAGCCCAGGAAGTTGAGGCTGCAGTGAGCCACGATGACACCACTACACTCTAGCCTGAGTGATGGAGCAAGACCCTTTGTGAACATGTGTGAGAAAATAAAATAAAATAAAATAAAATAAAATATAAAAAAATAAAGAGTCATGGACATTAAATTCAGGTATCCATTAAATAAAACTATTAAATAGAATTATCTTCTAATCTTCTCATTCTTTTTTAACTAAAAAGTAAAAGAGATTCTTAAATAATGATTATTTGAAAATCTAAAGCTACAAACACACCTGGATAGGATTTTTTAGCAATGAAATTAATTTTATCAGGCCAGTATTAACATCTGATCTGTCTGTGTTGGCTGTGGACCACCTCACTTCTCTAACCACAGATTAAAGGGTGCTTATGGACATTTTCCTGCTGGGAAGGGTCTAGAGTTTCACAGCTCACCAGATTGATCAGAAAACAGATTTTCAACTCTCTGATTTACAAGGTATGTCTTTCTTAAAGAGTTTTTACATTAGCCCCTTAACTGATCAATTCGTTTTGTTTAAGAATTGCATTTTCAAGGGATTTTAAGGTCATAGTCTATTTCTAAAATCACTTCCTGGTGTGCCATATACAAGTGAAATCTAACTGAATTAGTAAAGCGAGGTAACAATATGGGACATGATGCAGTTAGAGGCCATGTTCAGCTGCATCATCAGAGGTTCCACAAATTTCATGGAGACCTTTTTAAAGGCAATTCATCAGTGCTCTGTCAAAATTTGAAGTGTGCATAGGCTTTTGACCAAATAGTTCCATTTCTAGAAATTTAGCTACAAAAAAATCTTCTCACACATGTGCACAAAGACCTATGAACAAAGATCTTGAATCTTTCAGTGTGCAATAGTGTCAACAGAAGAATGGTTAAATAAAGTACAGTACATCCATACTACCAAATTTTATGCAATGTTAGAAAGAACAAGATAACTAACATATTGACATGGAAAGCTCTCCATGATATACAGTTAAGTGGACAAAAGCAAGTCAGTCACAGAAAAAAATGTATACAAATGATCCAGTTTATGTAATAAGAAAATGACATGTATATATACTTATATATGTAAATGTATGGAAAAAAGGAGGGAAAGAGGCTATCTAAACTATTGCCAATGACTATATCAGGGAATGGGTGTACGTGGAAAAGGGTACTTTGCATTTTGCTTCCATATTTCTGCATCATCACTTCAATTGGAACATACTAATGTATTACTTACATCATTTTAAAAAACCAATGAAAACAAAAAAATTGTAAGAAATCCCAGAGGGGGCTTTGATGATTTGTCCAATAATAACGTCTTCACAGATACGAGAGAAACACATCCCGAAGGAACTGCATTTTCATTTGATCCAGTGTGGTCTCTCATTTAAAAGCACCAAGGAAAATGAGGGCTGTTAAGCGGACTGCACCTCGAAACACTAGCCTGCAGAAACAGATCCGTATTCCATATTCCAGGACAAATATAGCTACTACCAAATAGCAGGGGGGACATCTTGTGACTGGTTAGAGCTCACATCAGTGAGGCAGGCAAGAGAACCTCTGTGTCTCCATAAATGAAGTCACCCTGTTTCTCTACACTTGGGTGTATTTATTTATTTATTTATTTATTTATTTATTTATTTATTGAGACAAAGTCTCACTCTGTCACCCAGGCTGAAATGCAGTTGTGTGATCTCGGCTCACTGCAGCCTCTGCCTCCGAGGTTCGAGCAATTCTCCTGCCTCAGCCTCCCAAGTAGCCGGGATTACAGGCGCCTGCCACCATACCCGCCTAATTTTTGTATTTTTAGTAGAGACGGGGTTTTGCCATGTTGGCCAGGCTAGTCTCAAACTCCTGACTTCAAGTGATCCACCCTCCTCAGCCTCCCAAAGTGATGGGATTATAGGCGTGAGCCATCACACCCAGCCAGGTGTTCTTATTTTAAAGGAGCATCATGAAACAGGAGAAAAAACCATGTCCTTCCCCCCTCAACTTTGTAATTTGCCAACAGTTTGGAAAAATGGGGTATAGGGAAAGAACAAACAAGCAGAAATTCAGAATCTGAAATCTATGTACACTGGAAATAAATGACCATAACAACCTTTATAAGAAATTTTACAGCCAAAAAAATTAAAGGGCAAAACAAAAACTACTGACATTTTCTGGTACACGGTGTTTCCAAGCCCTTACAGTTAACAAAAGGCTCAACATGGGAGCTCCTGGGTCCAACCACAAATGTGCTTTGTTTGGCCATACCATGGGCTGACAGGTTTGTTTTTCATGTTAATTATTTCCAAACATTTTAAAATGAGAAGACTCCAAATAAATCTGGATTTCATGCTTCTCTTGAAAATGTAGAGGCACTGATAATCCTGAGCCCTAGGCCCACCTGGTAGAAACCTGTCAGACCCGAGTGGTAGCTGCCCCATGGGAAGGGGCACAATTGGGCCCCCGGATGGGCGCAAGCCTCACCACTCCCTAAGGTCTCTGACACCTGGTCAGCCACACTTGGGCCTTTCACTTACCTGGCCCTTGGAGGAATCAGAGTATACAACACCCTTACTACAACCATGAGGAACTTCACCAGGTAAAACCGGCCTTCCAGAAAACTAAAGGCCGTTTAGGCTACCACAAAGTAGCATTTAGTACTCTCCCTATCACAGATTTCTGGCATGCAACTGCACAAACAGAAGTACCTAGAATTAGATAAGAATGCACAGTTTTATCCTCAACTTCTTATTCCAATTCCATATTCACAGCAGGATTGCCAGAAGCTTTTGTCACATCTCAGCCTAGTCACTTAAAATAATTATCACAAAACTTGTTACGGTAACAAGTCTTTCTGCAGCATGCACCAGCTTAATGACAGGTAATACACAGTATGGTGGTTAGAAGCTGGAGTTCTGATGTCAGCCTACCTGAGTTTCAGTCTCAATTCTAACTTTAACATCCTGGGATGATTCACTTAACGTCTCCTAACCTCAGTTTCCCCAAATATAAACTGGAGATGCTATTAGGACACACCCAAAAAGGCTGTCAGAAGGAGTAAATAAAGTGGCACATTTTAAGTGCTCAACAAATGTCTGTTGTTTTATTTTGTTGTGGTTATTACAATACTATGTAAAGCAGAGATGTTGAGTACTCTCAGAGAAACTCCATGGAAAAACAAGAGCTATGATGACTGCCCCTGAACACCAGAGAGCCCTAATTCTTCTAGTGGAGGTCTTTCTCCCTCCAGGCCTCAATGGCTTATATGTTTTGTTTTGTTTTGTTTAAGAAAAAAAAAAAGGCTAGCTGGGAGACAGATACCCTGGGGACAGCATCTGGCTCACTGAATTATATTCCGAAACACCAAAGTCACAGAATTTTGAAGCTATTAGGACTGAGTTAATATTAGGTCCCTCTGTCCAAATGCAGTCACTGGGCTTGGCAAGTCCAAAGGAAGATCTGGTACTTCATGGTGGTCCTGTGGGATGACTGAAACTTTCTGTACTTGCAGAGTGGCAGAGTAAGTGTCCCTTGTAAGTTTTATAGGAATTTTCTCAGGCTGTTTGTATGGATAAGGTCAATGCCGTCTACCCCTATAAAGGAGAACAAGATGAGAGCCATAATACTAGTAGTACCATTAGGAGAAGGGGCACTAGCACTTGTTAAACATGCTTTAATTGTTCAGGAGCGTAAGAAAGGCAGTGTATCTTAAAGGAATGATTTTCCTGGCCCAAGGGTGTTTCCATAGCTACAGGTGGAATTTCCCAAACCTGGGCATACCCAAAGATCCTAGGATCCTTTGCAGCTGTAGTAGCAGCAGTAACAGTATGCTGCATCATTCACAGTGCAGCACCAAGCACTTTTGCCCCATGGGGTTATTCTCCTCATTTTACAGATAGGGCAACTGAGGTTCAGAGTGGATGCCCAGGGTCACACAGCTAAAAGAGGGCATCTGTCAGCAATCAAGCTAAAACAGGGCATTTGTCAGGAAATCAGTGCCTGATTCCAATGCCTGAAGGTCTCAGCAACCACTGCTCAACGCAAACCCACAGTGAAAAGACCCACCGAGCCAGGGGCCTCTGGGAGGAAGCATTTCTTGAGGAAACATCATCTTCACCTTGTGTGGGTCATGAATGCCCTTTGCAATATGGTAAACCTTAAAGACCTTTCTCAGCATGATATTTTCATTTTATTATTATCTTTTTAATAGAGTCTCACTCTGTCACCCAGGCTGGAGTGCACTGATGCGATCACAGCTTACTATAACCTTGAACTCTTGGGCTCAAGCGATCCTCCTGCCTCAGCCTTCCAAGTAGTTAGGATTTACAGACATGTGCACCACACTCGGCTAATTTTTTTATCAGTTTTTTTTTTGATATAAATTGATCTTACTGTGTTACCCAGGCTGGTCTCAAACTCCTGGCCCCAAGTAATCCACCTACCTTCCAAAGTGCTAGGATTAGAGATGTGAGCCA